TCTTGCTGGTCTCAAACTCTTGACCTCAAGCAATCCTCCCACACCGGCCTCCCAGAGTGCTAGGGAGGACACACTCATAAACTGGTAAGAATATGAATTGTTGCAATCTCTTTTGAGGCAATTTGGCATTGTCCATCAGAATATAAAGTACATATCCCCTTCAACTAAACAATCCATTTCTAGAAATTTATCCTACAGAAATACCCACGTATGTTCACAAAGATGCATGTACAGCCCATTAATAGGACATGTTGATATATTCATATGATGGAATAGTATGCCATTGTTAAAAGCTATTGGATTATGGAACATTCATATAAAGAAATTAAAAAGAAGGAGAGAGCTATTATAAGAAGTAAAAAGTCCAATGTGGAATGTTCTTTTAGATATAGTGTTAAAGTTTTTTTTTAAAAAAAGTACAGAACATTGTGTATGCTGTGGTCCCACCATGTAAGAAAGATGTAAGGACATATGGCCACACACACACTTGTGAAGGCTTAGAACATCTCTGGAGGGCTCCACAAGAAATTGTCAACGATGAACAGCTGGAAAGGAAAGAGTGGTGATAAAAGTGTCTTAATAGTACATTCCTATATACTGTTTTAATTTGTTACCAAGTATACCTGTTTTTTTTCTTTTCATTAAAAAGGACGATTTAGGGAAGAGCAAGAGAGTATCAGATACAAAGAGGACAGGACTGGAGAGAAGACATCAGCTGACTAGAGATTTTAACAGGATAGTGGGTGGTGGGAAAAAAGAGATTTTAACAAACTTTTGGAAGAAGGGGACACTGACAAAGGAGGGTTAACGAAAGAAACGAGGTGGGAAAGGGAGGGCACAGAGTGGCCCTGGAGAAAGGTGCCCTGAGGATGGACACTGGAGAGGTTGAAGGTCTTAGAAACAAGGGGTCCTATGGAGAGCATGGCCAGGGGGGAGGATGAAGTGAACATTTTGATGTAGCATAGTCACATCCAGCCACTCCCATCCTCCTACGCCTCCCCCACAGCACCCCTAGAACACAGGCTTCTAACCCCCCAGGCAAAATACCAGAAGCCTCTTCTCAGACCAACACCAAGCATGTGAGTTCCATTCCACTAGGGTGTTTTTCTGGCCCACCTGATGGAGCCAGTAGACCACACAGAACACAGCCCTCAAAGTTCCCAAATATTTTTATTTATTTATTTATTTATTTTGAGACAGAGTCTCACTGTGTTGCCCGGGCTAGAGTGCCGTGGCGTTAGCCTAGCTCACAGCAACCTCAAACTCCTGGGTTCAAGCGATCCTCCTGCCTCAGCCTCCTGAGTAGCTGGGACTACAGGTGTATGTCACGAAACCTGGCTAATTTTTGTTTTTAGTAGAGATGGGGTCTCGCTTTGCTCAGGTTGGTCTTGAACTCCTGACCTCAAACAATCCTCCTGCCTAAGCCTCCCAGAGTGCTGGAATACAGGCGTGAGTTTCATGCCGTGGGTCATGTTCAAAAATGTTTCAAAGCCATTGAACCAGTTTGTAAGCTTTGGGTGAGCAAGGGCTGTGCCTGTTTTTTTTTTATTCAACATCGTATCTCCAGAAACACTGTACTACCTGGCACCAGGCATATGCTCAATAAACTTATCAAATGAATTGAACAGGACAGGAGACATTGGAAAAAAAATGAGGAAGAAATCAATACTAAATTTTGCCTACTTCACAATTTTGCTTTGGTCTCTACAGAATCATAAATAAAATGTTTTATTTTTCTCAAGAGACGATTCTTACCAGGGGATTAATTTGTAAAACCTAAAACTCCTTAAGTTCTCACATTCGAGCCCATAATTAGGAAGCCAAAAATGACTACTCAAGAGAACCCCCTAGCGGTCCCTTTTCACAGCCGTCCCCCTGCAGAAGAAGATGGAAGTGGGGTCCTCTGGCCCTTTATCCAAGGCTGGCAGAACTATGTTTCCCTACTCCTATCCTTAAAACCAGCCTACCTTTCCACTGGTAAAATTAGAGCCCAGTGTCAATGTGAAACAGGTGAGGTTAAACCAAGAGGCAGCAGAAAAGGGACTTACAAACAAAATGTACTTTTATTATCTTCTAATGTACTAGAGAAATCATCAGCCCTGCAACCACTGCAGCATCTGCTGGTCAAGAGCTGAAGCCATGCTACAACAGTCAGCTGTATGGTAAGACTAAAGCCACAAAATCCTACTTCCACAGCTTTTGGCTTCCTCTTGAGATGTGCTAAACATTTTATTAATGAAAACATTTCACTTCAAGATTGAACCATGATGATAATCCCTCCACTTTACATATCAACTCTGCTGGGGTTCCCTGGATTTAGGGTCCATCAGAGTCAATCGTCTCAACACATCTATGAAGAAAGAGATGAAGTGGGTGTGGCAGAGCCTGAACAGTGTGCAGCAATGAGGAGTGGGAAGGGGGTGCTATGAAGCAGATATCCTCTTTCCCAACAAGTCTCCTTAAAATTTAATATCTGTTTTCCAAGTCCAAAAAAAGGAAAATGGTAACAAATAAGAGCTTACGGTGGCATTTTGAGGCTATTCTCTCAGAGAGCCCCCCCAAATGAGAACTTGATCTTTTATTACCTATTTTGTAAGTATTCTAAACTGATTACAGCCACCAAAATGTTCATTCCACTTCCCATTTCAGAATTCTTTTCTCTTCCTCTCTCTATATTACAAAGATTTTTCCAACCAAAGGTTGCCACACACCCAGCCTATATGAACGTCCCATATTATCACATCTTTTCTAATTCTTTCAAGCATTCAGATGAATAACTTGTTTTGTGCCTCCCTTTAGTTAGTTAGAATATAGCTGTATTTTCCAAACTAAAATCCAACAACTTTCATAGGTTTGGGTTTTTTTAAGTTCTTTTGCAGAAGTAGAAGCAGTTGTGCTTTATTAACCATCTCCATTTATGGTTAAGTGGTTAAGATAACAGGAGGAACAAAGACATTGATTTTAGTAATGACTGAATACAAAAGTGAAGGTACTGGAAGTTAGCATTCTTAGGAGACACAGAATAAGAGCTAACAGGATGAGATCCGCTAGTGGTGTCCAAAGGTGCAGGCACAATAAATTGATCAAGCATCTGGTATAAATTACTTTCTAAATAAGAAGAAAGTATACATTGGTCTGAAAAATAAGTCAATGAACTAAGAAAAAGAATAGTTTGAGCTTCCTTAACATTTTTAAAATCTGTATTTGTCAAGAACTTAAAGAATTTTAAGGGGCAATCTCTACGGTTCACTTTTTATTAGATTATTATTAAATCTATAAATGTAAAACAGGTGTTTAAAGGCATTTGTAAAGAAATCAGAAAAAGGAAGAGGATAAAAGAACAGTGTTACCTTTAAAACTCCTTTTTTTTTTTTCTTGTCCTAAGAATTTTACTAAGAAAATATTCCCTGCTACCACTCTCTCATAACAAAAATGTGTTATGGCTGTAGGGAAGCCTAAAGTGTGTATATTAGTCTAGGTCCAAAACTGATCTCGTTATGTACAAATGTGAGCTTTGATTGTGCCAATAAAATAAATAATTGACAAGCAAGAAGGCAATAAAGCCAAGTGAAGTGGGAGTCACCTTCACGACACCAGTGAACGTGAGTAACCAGGGAGAGTTTTAGGACTAGGAGAAAAAGATTTGTTGGAAGGAAACAGATATCAGAAAACAGATGATTTCAGCAAGAATGAGGTCAGGGAAGACTTCATGAGCAAGGCATTAAATGATTAAGAAAATCTAGAAAGTAAGTGACTGCTCAGAAGGTTTCCAACAAAATGTGAGTCTCTGTGTTCAATGCATAGAACTGCGAGACCAAGGAAATGCTACCACTCATGCATTAAGAATATCTACTATCAACTAAATTAAAGCTAATAATAACTAAGTTATTAATCTAAGGGCTTAGATTATGAGTAGAAATATTAGTGGAAATTAAAAGTTAAAAAGAACAGCTTATTTTTTAGACTATTAAGCTGAGTCAAACAGTACTGAGTAATGAGATCCTGATTTATCTAGTAACCTGTCTGTAGATGATGTCCTTCCCTGAGATCAACTCACTTTACACATTGGATAATGTTTGCACCCTAACATGGTAACTAATTCTGCCCTGAACTACAGCCACACCCTAGGAGAAGTAAAAGTGAAAGCTAAGATAACTGCCCTCTGTCCCCCTTTCCTCTGCCCATACTTTACCTAGCCTTGTCCTATTCCCTGTCTGACAGTGGATTGAAGGATGGGAATGGAAGTTATCCCCAAGCAGAAGCTGGGAAACTTAATGTTTGGCCCACCCAAAACTTATTTTAACATACTTACCAACATCTCCATAAACATACAGGCCCCTTGGAGGTTTGCTCCTTGAAAAAAGCTGCAAATTAAGAACAAATTATAAATCTCTACCATACAATAATTTAAATATAATCATATACAGAGTGTTCCTAACTGTGCTGCAGACAGGACTAAAAGGGGATATTATACATAGTATACATAAAAAGTAAGAAAAAACTTGATGCAAAAGGCTATAAAGCTAGAATATTATGCAGCCCTAAAAAGGAAATTCTAACATATGCTAAAATATAAATGAACCTTGGGGACATTATGGTAGGTGAAATAAGCCAGTCACAAAAATACAAATACTGTATGATTCCACTTATATAAGGTACTTAGAGTAGTCAAAAATTATAGAGACAGAAAGTAGAAAAAGTGGTTGCCAGGAGCTGGGGGTGGGAGGAATGGAGAGTTATTGTTTAATGGGTATAGAGTTTCAGTTTTTCAAGATGAAAAGAGTTCTGGAGATAAATGGTGGTGATGGTTGCACAACATTATGAACGTACTTAATACCACTGAACTGTACACTTAAATAGTTAAGATGGTAAATCTTAATGTATATTTTACCACTGTAAAAAATCGGGAAAAATAAAAGACTGTGAAGCCCCACTTAGGGTTCAATACAGGAGGCGATAAGTGTAGCAGCCCAGAGCAAGGGCTCCAAAGTCACACAACTTGAATTTACATCCCCTCCACCATTTACTAACCATGTAATCTTCCCCTTCTTTCCCAGATGGGCTCCCCAAACACTGACAGCCAGGCTCATTCTCAGCAAGTAAGAAAAAAGAAGAATTTTTCTGTACAGCCGGGCACAGTGGCATATGCCTATGGTCCCAGCTACTCAGGAGGCTGAGGCAGGAGCATCGCTTGAGCCCAAGTGTTTGAGGCCAGCCTGGGCAACATAATAAGACCCTGTCTCTAAAAAAAATTTTTTTTTAAGAAATTTTTCTGGAGAAGCTGAATGATTTCCAGAACAAAAGCCCAAAAGGCACTTACGTCTGGGCTTCTCCCAAGGAAAGACCTGGATCCTGACCAAATCACCTTCTGGTAAAACACACCAGTCAACAAACCTTTCAAGATGGAGCTTTCAATCAGCTTGGTAGTACCTGGAAAAACTGAAATAAGTTGGCAGCCAAGAATCAACAGAAATTTGAAAAAAAAAATTCCAAGGTGAAAGTTGGAGACCAGAGCAAACATATAGACGGGAAAAAAATCAGAGGAAACAGGACTATGCAGAGAGCAAAAGAGAACTTCAAAAGCAAAAGTAAAGTCAATATAATTAATATACTGAGAAAAATAAGAGAAGCTATTAAACTATATAAGCACAGTGGGGAAAGAAACAGTATCTTCAATAAATGGTGCTTGGAAAATGGATTATCTACATACAAAAGAATAAAATTGGACCCTGATCTTATACCATACACCATAAGCAAATCAACTCAAAATGGATTAAAAACCTGAATATAAAACCTGAAACCATAAAACTCCTAAGAAAACACAGAAGGAAAGCTCCCTGACATTGGTCTTGGATTGATTTTTTGGATAGGACACCAAAAGCACAGGCAAAAAAAGTAAAAATAGGGAGGGGTGTGGCAGAGAGGAGCCAAAACCTACCTAACAGGCACAATGAACACTATTCGGGTGATGGGCACACTAACAGCTCTGATTCAAGCATTATAAAAGCTATCCACGTAACAAAAACACTTGTACCCCCTTAATATTTTGAAATTTTAAAAAAGTAAAAATAAATAATTAGGATTACATCAAACTAAAAAGCTTCTGCACAGCAAAGGAAACGATCAACAAAATGAAAAGGCAGCTTACAGGTTGGGAGAAGATATTCGTGAACTATGTACCTGATAAGGGGTTAATAGACAAAAATATATAAGGAACTCACACAACTCAACAGCAAAAAAAGAGTAACTTGATGTAAAAATGAGCAAAGGACCTGAATAGACATTTCTCCAAAGAAGACAGTCACAGAAATGTGCTATAATGGAATACTAAAAAGGAAAAAAAAATGGCCGACAGGTATAGGAAAAGGTGCCCAACATTACTAATCATCAGGGAAATGCAGATCAAAACCACCGTGAAATATCGCTTCCACACCTGTTAGGGAAGCTTTTGTCAAAAAGACAAGAGATAAATGTTGGTGAGGATGCAGAGAAAAGGGAACACTTGCATGCTGTTGGCAGGAATGTAGATTAGTGCAGCCGCTATGGAAAACAGTATGGAGGTTCCTAAAGAAATTAAAAATAGAACTACCCTGTCACCCAGCAATCCTTCTTCTGGAAATATACTCAAAGGAAATGAAATCACCACCTCATAAAGATATCTGCATTCCCATGTTCACTGCAACATTATTTATGATAGCCAAGATAAAGAAACAACCAACAAGTCTATTGATGGATGAATGGTTAAACTGTGGTGTATGCTATATACACAATTGAATATTTAGCCTTCTAAAAAAATGAGATCCTGCCATTTTCAACAAAACAGAAAGAAAAATACTGCATGATCTCACTTATATGTAAAATATTAAAAAAAAATTAAATCAAATACATAGAAACAGAATAGAAGAATGGTTGGGGTTGGAGGAAAGGGTACAAAATTGTAGTTATGCAAATAAAACTATAAAGCAAGAATGAAATGCTAATTTTTTAAAAAGGAACATTAAGAATAAAAAGAGCACTCAGAAGTTCAGAATATGATAGCAGAAATAAAATTCCAGAAAAAGGATTAGAGGATAAGTTTGAGAAAACATTACAGAAAATACAACAAATAAATAACAATAAAAGATGAAAAATATAAGAAAATTAGAGGATTAATTCAGGAGGTCCAATATCTGACAAAAAGGAACTCCAGAAAGAGAGAACAGAGAAAAAAGAGAGGAGGCAGTTACCTAAGAAATAATGCAAAGATTTTTCTCAGGACAGAAGGACCTGATTTCTAGATTCGGAGGGCCGAGTGCCCAACACAATGAAGGAGATAATACCCACACCAAATCACAATAATGAAATTTCAGAACACCAGGCATATTAAGATCTTACAAACTTCTGAGGTGGCGATGGAAGGAGGAAGCAGGTCACAAATAACAGGTGAAGACTTAAACGAAATTTGACGGAAAATTATTTCCTATCCAATCCATCCATCAAGTGTGAAAATGGAAAATTGACTTTTCATACATACAGGGTCTTGGCTGGGCACGGTGGCTCACGCCTGAAATCCTAGCACTCTCGGAGGCCAAGGTGGGAAGATTGCTTGAGCTCAGGAACTCAAGACCAGGCTGAGCAAGAGTGAGACCCTGTCCCTACTAAAAATAGAAAAAATTAGCCGGGCATGGTGGTGTGTGTCTGTAATCCCAGATACTTGGGAGGCTGAGGGAGGCGGATCACTTAAACCCAGGAGTTTGAGCTTGCAGTGGGCTATGATGACGTCACTGTACTAAAAACAAAAAAAAAAAAAGGCAAGTCAGGACAGAGTGAATTCAGAGAGGGTAAAAAGCAGAAAAAAGTGGAAGGTCATGCCACTTAGCACCAACTACAGTAGTAAATAATTTGGCAGAGAACATTCTCAAAAGCTAGATTTCAGCATCTAGTCTATAATGCTTTTGTTTTATAATCTATGGATTCATTCCAGCCTGCTTCAGAAACCTCTCTTGTTTTCCTATTCCTCTTGGCTTTCTTTCTCCTCTAAAAATTCAGCTCCTGATTCCAGCATGTGCCTTCTAGACCTTTAGGCCAGGCAAAAGGATCTTCTTTGCTTTGACTGTGCCATCTGGATGGCTTCCCTGTGTTTCTCTGCACGTTAACTCTCCGTCTATTCTTAAATCTCAACTGAAAACAGATTTCCACTCCTGCCAAAATCTCTTAATTTTTCTTTTTTTTTTTTTTTATGAACCATTATCGTGCACTGGTTATTCTATTTTCAACTTGCCAGAAAAAGCATTATGTCCTTAAACAATTTTAGAACAGCTTCAAATTGGAAAACTTGCATAAAACCTAATAATCTCCAAGTACATTCTATGTATTAGAAATCTTTTGAAAGCAATATTCTGTATTAGGTAACTGGGAATGTCATAGCAATTCATAATTCTTTGCAACACATTTTGCAGGAATAGTTTAAGGCCTACTCTGATACTTTTCACATGATACAATCAATATATGTTGAATAAATAAAGTTCACACACACAAAAAAAGAATCAAAATGTGGAAAAAAGATGGCACAGACAGAACTCAATGCTGCTTTTAAAAAGTAGCACTCAGGATCCTATCTCCTGTTTTCCCCACTCAACTTGATACATTTTAGAAAGGGCACTTTGGCAAATGTTATATTATATATTATATATATAATTTATGTTATATTGTATTATATTTTATAGTAATTAGAAGATGATAAGGTGCCAAAGGAGAAGATCCTCAAACATCCTAGATCACAAATACCTAATGTGACATGAATACTGTTTAAGAGACAGATTTTAATCTAAATAAATTGATAAACAGGCGGGGTGCGATGGCTCACGCCTATAATCCTAGCACTCTGGGAGGCCGAGGCGGGAGGATTGCTTGAGCTCAGGAGTTCAAGACCAGCCTGAGCAAGAGTGAAACCCCATCTCTACTATAAATAGAAAGAAATTAGCCAAACAACTAAAAACAGAAAAAATTAGCCAGGCACAGTGGCACGTGCCTGTAGTCCCAGCTACTCGGGAGGCTGAGGCAGAAGGATTGCTTGAGCCCAGGAGTTTGAGGTTGCTGTGAGCTAGGCTGACGCCACGGCACTCTAGCCCGGGCAATAGAGTGAGACTCTGTCTGAAAAATAAATAAATAAATAAATTGATAAACAAAATGGATACCCTTCTAACCATAAACATTAGGCATAGTCTATCTAAACAATATTATATACTCCCAAGTATTTTCACTTGGAGAGGCAAGCTAATTTTCTTCTAATAAGATTTATTTTGCAATAATTATTGAAATTAAGAGATTTAAAAATCTGTATCTCAAGGGAAAAATCAGATGATCAAATGAAGAACAGTAAGAC